AAGTTTCTGCTGGAAGAGAGTCTGTATTTCCAGCTTTCATACTTTCCCACTGTAACACGGTGTGGCTTTGCAGAGCTGTTTGCTGCACATCCCTAATCACTGCACTGTAAACCTCAGCACAGATCTGTGCTTGTACTGCTCAGCTTGGCTTCAAAGCAAGAACCTTCACTGAGGACAGGAAACATCCCAGCCCTTCAGGCTGAGCTTTCCTAGGCCCCATGCCCGCCAATTTGTTCCCTAATGATCCTGCCAGCCTGAGGCTGTGAAGCACAACTATTGCTTGCGTGGCATTCACATTCTCTGGAAAAATCCCTTCGCCCAGGATTTTTCTCCTGGGAAGCTGAGAAGCCTCAGAGAAAAGGAAAACAATAATTATCTGATTTGCTTCTCCTGTGTTTTGCTGATGTGGAATGTGTTTGGAGAGTGTTTACACACAGGTGATTGTTTCATTGGTTTCATGTGAATTGTTTTGACTCTTTGGCCAACTGGGGCCAAGCTGTGTCAGGACTCTGGAAAGAGTCACAAGTTTTCATTATTCTCTTTTTAGCATTGAGTAAGTATCCTTTCTGTATTCTTTAGTATAGTATAGTATTCTTTAATATAATATAGTATCATAGAGTAATAAATTAGCCTTCTGAGAACATTGGAGTCACATTCATCACTCCTGCCTCTGTCGAGACACTCCCAGCAATACAATAGTTGCTGAGCCATGTGTGGAAGGCAGAAAGCTCAGAAGGCAGGAATTCCTGGAGCAGTGAGAGGTGTGGGGCATGACAGGAAGAGGAGGCTGATACTTTGCTGAAGAGGCCTCACAAACAATGCAGGAATACCAGCTCTCTGCCCTGGCTGCAGATTCCCTTATCTGGGAGCGCGGGCGGTGGCTCCTGTCAGCGCCTCTGCCTCGCACCCTGCTCCTCTCCCACTGCCCCCAGATACAGAGTGGCTTGAACAACTTCCAGGGCTCCATCCCCGAGCTTCCCAGGACCCTTCCATGCAGCAGCCTCATTAGCCAGGTGACATCACTGCCAAATGCATTTCCTGTGTCACATTCCCCACTGGAGAGCCTCTCGCCAAGCCCTTGTCGTGCTACACTGTCTTTTTAGGAACAAATGGTCTAATTTTAACCTGCCTGCCACAAACACCTTCCTGAAATAAGTTCTTACTCTCTCCTGCCTTGTGTGTGTACTTGAGAGTTTAAAAACAAAATCCCTCATCCGTGGGGTGCAGAGCTAAGGCCTGTGAGCTGCAGGAGGGAGCAGGAGCCTGGGCCAGAAAATGCTGTCACTGTTAGACCCATCCTGAGCTGTGAGGATAGGAATGTTCTACAGACACACACTCAGGTGATGCACATCACAAAGTTGCATGGATCTGATCCAATCTGTTTTGCATTCCAAGCATGTTGCAACAGAATTTGTTGTTTTCTGAACTGGCTGAAGCCAGATATGACATTGAAAAGTGCAATAAATGGGCTTAGTGGCCTCTGTGGTGTGCCTAGAACAATTGCTGTCATCATGATCCTTTCTTTTTTGGGGGTCTAGGAGTCAATAAACTGGTTGTGATCCTACAGTGATGTCAGCTCCTCTCTGGCTGTGCTGTCCTTGAGGGGCACCTGCAGCAGTGACCTGCTTTGAGAACAAATAAAAACACAGGAGAAATAGGAATTATTGTGAGATGAGGACAAGGAGTACAGACTCCACAAAATCACAGGAGACTCGTGCTCTTGCCTTTTGCAGTTTCCAAGGAGGTGAATATGTGAGCTCTTGTACTGAATGATCAATGCAAGCCTGAGCTGCTGTTTTAATTAGCAGAGTCTAAAAAGCCACATCTTTAAAGAGTCTGCTAAACAGGAGAGGAAAATGTATTTTCAGGCAGCTGCTGTCATTATGTTGGCCTCTTGGGAGTGACACACAGACTTATGGTCCTTTAGACCTGGTAATTAAGCAACTCTTTGTACCTGCAGGTCAATTGATCAGGTGATGGACCCCCTGTGGTCTCCAGTGCACTAAGTCTTAAAGGATAAATAGAAAAAAGCCAAGAAGTCCTTGGGGATCTCACCAGATCCCAGCCTGAATTGTCCATGGGGCCTTTTCTGAGCAGAAATTCAATCAAAGAGCAGCAGAGCAGCTTCTCCCGAGGCTGACCCCAGCTTGCTCCCATCCAGCTGAGGACTAAGACAGTGCTGGCTCACATAAGGTGAAGGAAAAGTGGTTTGTGTTACTGGATACTCTGAGGGTCCAACCCCTGGCCCCAGCTGGGCTTCAATGGATGAAAACAAGTGTGGCAGCAGGGTTTTATGTGCTGAGCATCCCAGCAGGAGCTGAAAGGACAGCAGGGACTTGGGGGACAGGACTCATCCACTCTGGGTGAGCACCTGCATTACCCCAACTCTTGCACAGGCTGGCACAGCATTTGCTCTCTACTGTAGCAGGATCATACAGGATCTCTGAAATGTCACTGGCAAGAATTGTGTCAAATTGATTGATTTCAATGAGCCAGTTTTGTTTCCAGATTCCCATATTCCTCTCATTTTGACACATTTTTATTAGCTAACTTCTTAACACCCTGAGAAGCAGTGCAGAGCCTGCAGGTTGGGCAGCTTCCTGGTGGGTTTGGGAATAAGGACCAGCTAGAACTGATGTGTGTGCTGTTTTCTATTCCATCTTTTCAAATTTCCTCTCTTTTTCCCTGCTCTCTGGTTTCAAGTGCCAATTCCCATTTGTCTTGTCAACAAAGACTTGTCTTGGCCTTTTAGCTTCTCTGTCCTTCATCATGAGAGGAAAATGCTCAGTGGTGTTCCCTTTGCCTTTCCCTGCTGTGGCTGTGTGTGCCCGCAGTGACAGCTCTCCCATGGCCTTTCCCTTTCTCCTTCCCTTTCCCTTTCCCTTTCCCTTTCCCTTTCCCTTTCCCTTTTTCCCTTTCCCTTTCCCTTTCCCTTTCCCTTTCCCTCTCCGCCGTGTGTGGTCCCGCAGCGCCCCCTGGCGGTCTCTGCGGGCAGTGCATTGTGCCGCTCCAGCTGTGCCTTTTCCACATCTGGCGAGAGCAGCAGAACAGTTCATGCTCCGGGCTTTGCATCCCACGCGTCTCAGCAGTATGACTGGTGCAGGATGGCTAAAATATCCCGTCTGATCTTTATGGAAATGAAGTTTTTGCTGTTGAGAAACTCTCTTGGACTCGAAACTGGACTCTTTTATTCCTGCAGGATTCCTCTCGTTGAAGGTATATATCTGTGCCTTTGGCTAGGCTGAAATCCCCCATAATAAACTTGAGACTCTGAGTTAGCCCACTCCAGAGCAAGGTTTTCAGTCCAGAAAATGTTTCATGGTGCCAAAGTTAGTCTCAGAGTTAAGCCAGGCAACCTGGTCCAGCCTTAACCTTCATCCAGCCCAAGCCTTGCTGTGTGTTAGACATAAACAACACAAAAATCTTTGGGAGCAAGCCACCACATCAAAGCATCAGCACGGAACACATCACTTCCTTCTTGCCTGAGAAAGGGAAAGGGACTGCTCAGAGCTGAACCAAAGCATGCTTCGTTAATAAACACTAATTGCCATCTATCTAGCACACACATTTTTTCTAATTTAAAAATCCACACTGAAGCCTCTGAAGAGAGGAAGATCAGAACAGGCTCAATTTTCCATGCAAATAATTTGCTTCTGATCTTGACCCAGGATTTTCATAACAATTGGGGACAGCATGGGACTGCTGTGTCTCTGAGCCACAGTGCCCAGCTGTCCCTCTGCCCCTGAGGCTCCTTTCATGCCTGCCTCTGAAGGGATATGTGCACCTGAGACTTCTGCCTTCACTGAGCTGAAAGTCCTGTCTCTTCAAACACATTTATTTCTGTCTCTCCTTTTCCTGGTTTTTTTGGGATTTTTTTTCCACATTTGATCCCACTTGCTGAGTGCTGACAGGAACCAGATGAAAAGATTCCAACCTTTCAGTCAATATTGGATATCAACCTCGATTTATATATTGGGATTGTGTGTTCAAATCTTTGTGAGCACACCTGTGCAGGTTCCATACATCTCCAGTAATGTCATCACTTGGCATCTTAAAAACACACCACTATCTCCCTGGATTCAAGAGATTGACTACAAAAAGAGGGATTTTTAGGATTTTTCTTTGTTTGTTTGTTTTGGAAGTGGATTTCCAGGATGCAGCATGCTGTAATGTCATTTACCTTTGTTTTCTTTGGTGTGAAAGTGTTGGAGCAACTTCCAAGCTACCTTAATGGAAAAATCTGAACCACATACCTTTTAACAAAAATTAAATTATATTTGCATGGATGCAAATATTCCCTGTAGACAGGTTCTGAGATTTGGGGAGGTGGGAGGGAAAGTTGTGTTTGAGATTAGTACCTTATCAGGTTTTTTTATTAAGCTGTAAGCCTGGAGTGACCATTGTGGCCATTGATGCAAAGTCCTGCATGAACTGAAGCATTGAATTTGCCTGAAATATTTTTTTCTTGAACTGGTGAATATATTTTTAGAACAACACCTGACCTTGATTCATAAAACACCAATGCTGGAGTTAGTTCTGTGTTTCATTCTTTCTCATGTAAAAATATGCATGTTACATTTATCATGAGGACTTCAGCCTCCAATTTTATTTACTTTTGTACAAAAGCAAACAGTTCTTCAGCTCACCTTCAGAGATCCTGCTTCAGGCTGAGCTCGGAGCCACACACACACACTCCTGCAGTGACTTCCTCTGACCTGACTTAAAGAAACAGCTCCTGGCTTTGACTCTGCAAGGAGTCAACTTATATGAGCTGTACTCCAACCAACTTCCTTTGAATCTCATAAAGCTGCTTTATTTTAGGAAAAAAGAAATTATTAAAAACAAAGACCAAGAAATTATTAAAACCAAGATGAATTGCAGCTTTTCAAGCTTGACTTCCTCTTAAATTCACACCTTCCTTTGTGTTGCCTTTTGCAACCATTAAGCATTGCCTTGCCTCCTTTAGAAAGAACTTTAATCTGCTAAATCTCTCTCATGCTCTACATGAACCTGTCAGCTGGGAGAAGAGACAGGCCAAACCCTACCCCCACTTTGTGCTCCTGTTCCCTCCTCCTGGAATTGCTAAAAGAAGAAGCAGGCAGGATGGGGTTAATTAGATGTGCAGCTCTCTTGCAAATGAATTGAACTCTGCTCAGACTTGCTAATTGCCAACATGGGGAAGTAGTTCTGTTTGCTTTGATTTTTTTGCTATGATGACTCTCTTGAGTCATGCATAGAAGTGGAATTTACTGCTCTTCACTGCAGAGACTCTTCCTCCAACAAGGAAAGAATAGCAAATTTCAGTTTAATGGGAGAAGTAGCTTGTCTTTCTCATGTCTTCCACAGAGCTGGACTGCATCTGTGCCCCCAGGAGACTGACAATGGGAAAAATGTATGGAGAGGAGATTCCACTGTAGGGGAGAGAAGCTGGAAAGACAAAGTGCTACAGAAAATTACTAGAAGAAATTCAGTGTTGTCCTCACTTCATTTGTACCTCTGAAACAATAATCAAAAGAGTTATTTTCTTCTCCATCAGGATTTTGCTACTCCCTCTCCTACTATCTAAAGTTACACATTTTTCAAGCTGTGGTTCCCTGGGGAGTGGCAAAGACCACCTTGAAATAAGCAGCTGTAATGTGTCAGGGTGTCAGAGCCCTGGACTTTGGTGGCTGCATTCTGTGTCCCCTACAGGCACAAATCTAGGATGGCTTTGGTGAAGTGAGAGTCACACTGCTGTACACCTTTCACCTGCCAGTCGTGCTCCTGCTGGAACCCCACCTGCACTGTAGTAGCTTCTCCTTGCTTTGAGACACCTTCCTAAATTTCTACTGGTGTTTTAGGTTCCCACATTAACACACTAGCTAAAAATACCAATTGTGGCCAGGAGCAAAAAGAGAATGTTATTTAAAGGAGCTGTGTTTGCCTGGGACAGTCCAGTCGCTTCTTCTACTGTCACATCTCATCTACAAAACCTGGGAGAAGCTCATTTTCCCAGGATGTTTCAGTACCATGTGACCTGTGTTCCAAATTGGCACCTTTGCCACCTTCCCCCAAAGCAGGGGAGCCCAGAGCAAGGAGGTTCTCCTGGAGGCTGCGTTGGGAGCTCTGGTGAAAGCCATTCCTCTGCCTTTGGCTCACTCCATGGGTGGCACTCTCAGGGCTCCAGTCTGGTCTGGAGCTGCTCTGAGCCTGAGTGTGTGGGCTCAGCTCATCCCAGGACAAGGCAGGGCTCTGTGCAGCTGGAGCTGCTCCCACACCAGCCTGTGACAGACAGAAACACACATCAGAGCTGTTTTTCCCCCTGCTTCCAGGGCAAAGATGCAATTTCCCCATGTCCCAGTCTGTAGTGAATGCCTTGTTCTCTATTCCCCCAGCCAGATGTTCACCTCCTTACTTGTTGGACAGATCCCTGGCTCCTTTCCATCTTTTTTTTCTTGGAGATTCCTGGATTCCAGTGGCACACCAGACTGTCATTTTGAACACCGTAGTTCTTGTTTCCAAGAAGCCAGTAGGTTTTCATTTTCCCTTTGCCCTGGACAAGAAAAGGGGAGAGAAGAAAACAGCTGTTTTCATGTGATATGAAGCAAAGCAGGGATCACTATGGCCAGAGCTACTCCCTGTCCTGCATTTGTTATCTCTCCTTCTCTCATAAGTGGCTGCTGATCAGGGAAAGAATTATAATTCATGTGCAGTTTGAGTGTGGCCAGAGCTACTCCCTGTCCTGCATTTGTTATCTCTCCTTCTCTCATAAGTGGAAAAGATCAGGAAAAGATCAGGGAAAGAATTATACTTTACGAGCAGTTTGAGTGCTAATAATCTCTCCTGCTCAGACGTCACTGCCTTGCTGGCCACTGGCAGTGTTGCTGAGGGTTTAAAATAAGCCCTAAACCTAACATGTCTTTGACTGAATCCTCACACTCCTGCATTTGTTATCTCTCCTTCTCTCATAAGTGGAAAAGATCAGGAAAAGATCAGGGAAAGAATTATACTTTACGAGCAGTTTGAGTGCTAATAATCTCTCCTGCTCAGACGTCACTGCCTTGCTGGCCACTGGCAGTGTTGCTGAGGGTTTAAAATAAGCCTTAAACCCATGTGTCTTTGACTGAATCCTTACATTTTGGGCCATACTTGTGGTTCCATGCAGGTGCAGATATAGCAACCACGTTTCAAAGCACACAGAACACTTTTTCTTCAACTTTCAGGAGCAAGTAGCCATGCTGGTCACTGGCAGTGTTGCTGAGGGTTTAAAATAAGCCTTAAACCCATGTGTCTTTGACTGAATCCTTACATTTTGGGCCATACTTGTGGTTCCATGCAGGTGCAGATATAGCAGCCACATTTCAAAGCACACAGAACAATTTTTCTTAACTTTGAGGAGCAAGTAGCCACTTCCACTTGAATTAGCAAAAGAACCCCGGGGACACAGTTAAAAGTTGATGTGCTCTTCACAGAAGAGCAGTGGCCAAATCTATCATCTCCTTCCTATCCCATTAAATACCTTTATTGTTATAAAGACACAGAAAAACTGTTACCTTGACTTCAATTTCTCCTCTCAGTTCAATTTCATATGCATCATCTGTGAGAAGGGCTTCATATGTAGCAGAACTGATGTGGATCTTCTGTGCTAGGATCCAGAGCAGAGCAGGAATTAATGATTCCCTGAATCCCAGAGAAAACACACCAGCCCTCCTGCATTTACCAGCCCAGTGTTTCCACCTCCTCTTTTGTCATTAAGAGATGTGACTCTACGTGCCCATGCCAATCCACAAGAGTTTCTCTTTCTGTTTGGTAACTGGTGCATGTGCAGGAGTAGTGGGATGGCAGGTCAAGGAAGTGTTTCTTCCTTAGATAGATGATAATTACTTCTCTGACCTGGGGTGGTCCCAAAGTGTCACAGACATATTTTATGAAAAATCCTTTTGCCAGGATCTTTTCTCCTGAGAAGCTGCAAAGCCTCAGCTTCTCCATGTTTTGCTGCTTTGGAATGTGATTTGGAGAATTGTTTACCCAGAGTGTGAAATTGTTTTTACTTGATGACCAATGACAGCCACCTGTGTCGAGGTTGTGAGCAGCCACAAGATTCTGTTATTCATTCCTTTGCTTTCCTTCCCATCTTTCTGATGGATCTTTTCTCTCTATTCTTTTTAGTATAGTTTCAGTATAACATTTTAATATAATATAATATAATACAATAAATCAACCTTCTGAAGCATGGAGTCAAGATTTTAATTTCTTCCTTCGTCCTGGGACACTCGAACACAACCACACCAGAGAGTGTTCCTTCTCCTCCAGACACCTGATTTCACACTTGGCTGTGCCTGATGTGAGGGTGTTTGGGGATTTCCTTGCCCTCCAGTGCCCTAGAGGTGCAGGGTGCAGGTGTGGGTCTGGCTGGATGCTGGATCCTGCCCGGGCACTTACGCAGGCTGGTGGATTCCATGCGGGAAGCTGTGTTCACAGTGTCCCCAAAGAGGCAGTAACGAGGCATTTTGTACCCCACAACTCCAGCTACACAGGGCCCTGAGAAAACACAAGGCAGAGAGACCCCAAAAAGAAGCAAGTGGTAAGAAGCAGTGAGAAGTGCAGGGCAGTGTCAAATGCCAGCGCCTCTGCCAGTCACTCTGTGTCCTCAGAGAGATGTGGTAATTGGGAGTACTCTGCACCTGGGCCTGGCTGCAGTGTTTACTCAGTGAGAGAAGTCACAGTTTGATGAGTGTCCTGGATTACCAAGCAAATTGTATTCTATTTACCATTGTATGGTAGTTGTCTTCTTTCAGTGGGCAGTTTTCCTTCTCTCTTCCACATCCACTCCTCCCTCTGCGGGGACATCTGCTGATAACAGGCTGTGGAATGTCCCTGCATGGCTGGTAAGAACTACAGCATCCACTGGGAGATGTGAGCCCAGAGGGAGGAGCCAAGCATTCCTACCTGGATATAATCTGAGATTCTGGAACACCAGCACAGCCTTTCCACTGGATTCCCAGGGGAGCAGCTGCCTCTTCCACTGAATCATCAGAGGAAGGCTGCACCCTTCTACAGGATCCCTGCTCCAGCAGAACCACACCTGGCAGTGCAGGAGGGCTGCAGCCACAATTCCAATGGGACTGCTGCCAGCACCCTGACCCACAGAGTGTCAGGTTGTGTTCTGACTCTGTCCGTCTTGTTTTGGTTTACTACCTTGTTTATTTTATCTTTTTATTTTCTCCCCAGGTAAAGAACTGTTATTCCTGCTCCCATATTTTTTTTTGCCTGAGAGCCCCTTAATTTAAAATTTATAACAATTCGGAGGGAGGGGGTTTACATTTTCCATTTCAGGGGAGGCTCCTGCCTTCCTTAGAAAAGACACCTGTCCTTAGAAAAGACACCTGTCTTTTCAGACCAAGACAATTAGCTGTAGCTAATTGGTGGTGATATCACCAACACTAAATTGCTTCCCAGACCTTTCCACATTGATACAAGCAAAACTCATTTCACCCCCCTGTTCCTGCCAGAACAAGGAGAAATACTTAGGTGTGGGCAGAGGCAGTGGCTCGTAGAGAAGTGCAGAATTCCTTTCTCCTCTCTAACTGGCTGTGCCCTGCTGTGGTTTTGTGCTGCCCTCCCCTCAGCCCGTGTACCTGTGTGGATCCCAGCCCGCAGCTCCAGCCTGCCTGCTGGCATGTGAGGGATCACCACCTGCCGCACTGCTGCCACCAGATCCAGGGACATTTTGGCAATCTCGTCGGCGTGTCTGGTGCCATTCCTCTCTGGCAGGCCACTCACTACCATGTAGGCATCCCCAATGGTTTCCACCTGACAGGAAGGGGCACGTGTCACTACGTGGAAGGCACTGAGCTTGATAGGACAGGGATAAAATGTTTCTGAAATTGTGGAATATTCAGGGGAGTTAGAAAGGAAGGATGGCCCTGGGAAAATCTTAGGCTGCACCTGTATAATCATTTAATGACTATGATAAATGATATGATTGTTGGATGTGATGATTGTTTGGTAATTGGATATAATTATTGTTTAATCATAACAAGAATCATGAGAAACGACATTGGGGGAGTTTGATGGAAATTACAAAAATCCATGCTTGGATGGAATCAATGTATACAATAGAACAATATAAGTTTAATAATTAATATGTAGTTATATAACCATAAGGGTATAAAAATGTGTTCATCCCAAACCCATGTCAGAGTCAGATTTGGGTCTGTACTCCTGACACCAAAAGCTCTCCAATAAGACCTGCATAAAATCATTCTGTGATTATATGTTCCTGAATGCTAACAAGCTTTCCTTTGGAAAGAAAATCAGAGTAAAATCTATTTTAGCTGCCCAGCACTCACCAAAATGTGGTGTAGAGTCCCTGTAGGGTGGTGGGTCTTGTATTTCATGGATTTGAACTCCTGGCCTGGGGTATTTGATATTCACCAGAAAACAGAGTACAAAAGACTTCAGCAGCTTGCAGATTCCTTTCCTGTGGATTTGTACTCACCTTGTACACATCATAAGACTCAATCCTGGTGTCAAAGCAGACGTACAGATTGTTGAGCATCTCAACCACTTGCAGGGGAGTGCAGGAGGCAGCAATGCTTGTGAAGCCCACGATGTCAGAGAAAAAGATCGTCACCTGTCACAGGGAGAAGGAGAGATGAAGCCAGGATCTCCAGGCAGCACTGGTGGAGCCTCTGGGGAGTTTGGGGATTTGTGGAATCTTGAGCACAGCAGCCTAAGCCACAGCCTAAGCCACAGCAACCTAAACCATAGTCTGGTGGCTTACACAGCACATAGTACCAGTCTTGCACAGCTCAATAGAAACAATCCTAAATTAACAAGTTCTGATTCTGAATCTTTTTCTACTACTTTGAAAGATAAAGTTATTCTTATCTCCAAAGTTTACCACCTGTGAATACCTCATGCTAATGGGAGACAAAGTCAAAATGCTTTGAATCTTGTGAGCAGTGATCAAGAGACTTCTTATAGGACTAGGGTCTCATTTTCCTTTAAAAGTGATTTAAACTGTGATAGGGATTAAACTAGGTACCAAAAACCCCTTTGAAATAAAACCTCTGTAGCTGCCTCTGTTCTTGTTGAATTAGAAAATATTAACAGGGTTTGGTTTCATTTTCAAATGATGTTTGTCATGATCAAGTATTTTACAGAAAAAAATTACTTAAAAAATCAAACTTATAAAAGAAAGAATAGAATTGAGGAAGAAAAATGTGTGTTGAAGCTGTTGGCAAAGAATTTTCTTCTCTATGCTGTCTGAATTGTGTCAGTGTTTAATACCTTGCTAATACCAATTAATCTGGAAGGGCCACCTTTTCACTCTGCCTTGGTTCAGCACTTTTGATGTCATGACTATAGAGGATTATAATTAATTGTGCAATTACAGGTTGTTGTTTTGATAATGACACCTACAGATGAAATGCAAACCTTTAGTACTGTGGTTCACAGCTGAAAGTAAGGGGGTGTCCAGGGAAAAAGAGAGAATAGAATTGCAATTATGGTAGCATGAGGATTTGGGCTGAGGGCTATGCAGCACAGCTGCTAAATTCAACCCTGGCAGCAGCAATTCTTTTATTCCTGATGTTTTACAAGGAGGAGATTGATTTCTTGCTCCTATGAGCTCATGATCCAATGGTGCTGGCTGGCTGTTGTGGGTGGGCTCCTAAATGCCAAGACAATTTGCCAGTATAGGATGTTTGATGTCCAAAGCTGTGAATTTGATAATCTCAGCTCTCCTTCCTTCCCCATCAGCCTAGGTGCTCCATATTGCACAGCTCTTTCCAAAAGCCATCGGGAATATTTGGATTTCCATCCACACTCGACTCTGGGTGCAAACCAGGATCCTCAGAACTGTGACAAGGTAGGTGCTATTTTAAGGGAACACCTTTCTACCCTTGGTGGCAGCATCCTTTCCTTTTGCTAACCTGGTCATAGTTTTCTGCCTCAACTCTTTGGCATTTCCTTAGCTGCTTGGCCACAGACTTTGGCAGCATCTGGTGCAAGAGGTCCTCAGCCAGGCGCCTCTCCCTTTTCAAGTCCTCTGTCTTCTCCTTGAGGTTCCTGGCATAATTGTGTATCCAGTCTGTCATTTGCTTGAAGGACACCAGCACAATGGGGTAAATGAGACAGGCAACCACCAGCAGGCTGATCTTGAGGCTCACTGTGGACAGGATTTCCCTAGATTTCCTGTGCAGCTTTTCCTGCCCCTCCTGCAGCAGACAGCTCTGTGCAGAATGCAGTCCCCTCCCTGCTGCTTCCAGGGACACAAAGTCACCCAAGCCCAGGGAGGGGGTAAAGAAAGTGATTCCTTCACCATGGGTGAAATGAAGTGACAGATTGACATTATCTGTCCAGCACTTGTGAGCAGTCTCTGAGGAGAAGAGAGCATAGCTCAGAGTGGCAAGATGCTGGTGCAGCGTGGTTTGAAGGCTCGCAGGTGCTGGCAGGGGCTGAGCTTTGAGCACAGCTTCTCTGATTTGGAGGAAGAGTTTAAAAGCCACTGTGTCTGCCCAGTCAGGATTGTGTCTCATGGCTTTCAGCTCCTCGTGGGGACTCCTGAAACGCTCGAGCAGTTCAGAGATTGCTCTGGACAGCACCTGCCCTGCTTCAGTGACCCCTGAGACATTCAGTTTGTGTCTCAAGGCAGTCATGTAAAATCTACAAATGGAGATTTTCTCCTCCTTGCACTGGCAGTTCTCACAGTACAGTTCTGCCTCACTTGCCATACAGAGGGAGTTTAAACTCCCCAGGAGCTGAGAATGGAATGATCTATTCCTTGCTCCTGCTGCTGGGAGTAGCCAGCTGTGCCTCTCTTCCTGCAGCAGAGAGATGAGGTGAGCAGCCCAAAGGTTTTCGCAGGAGGCAAGCTCCTGAAGGGCTCTGCCTGTGCTTTTCCATATTTCCAAGGTGTTGCTCAAATCAAAAGAAATGGCCCCAAGGAGGCTGCAGAGGGAGACCATGCATGCTGTCAAAATCCTTTGAACTGTTCTTCTACCACCAGCATTGGAAGAGGGAAAACACCTAAAAAAATAAATTAAAAATAAAAAATTAAAAAACCCAGTGGCATTGTCTGATCCTGAGAGTGTTTCTTCCAGCTCCTGAAACCACTACTGGATCTAGCAGTGACATTTAACAATTCCCATGCATTCTGAAACAAAGCAAAAGGAGCATGCATTACCCGAATCTTTTTTAAAGATGTATTTTATTGCATTTTGTTCCACCTGATATTAATTTTAAAAGAAAAGCTGTGTTTAAGAGACTGCTTCCTTGACACACTCTGATCTGAAAAACCAGATGAATGATACAGTTTTTCTGTGAGAAAAAAAAAGCTAATAAAACCATTTTCTGTCGGTTTTATTCTCTGTGATACTTCTCTCCAAATCTTAAGGAAGGTCATGAAAAGCCAGGCTACTTATTTCCCCAGTGATTCCAGTGATCACAAACTGGAACTGCTGATTTTTTAAAATCAGACTTTGAGAATTTGTTCTTAATAGGCATTTCCATATGGTGAGTAATTTCTGTTGATATGTTCAAATGAGCTCAGATGGTTTTTACAATATTGCCTGTGTATTTCAGATGGGAAATGAATCACATTTCTGTTTTCAGTTTTTACTGAAGCATTTGCACATCCAATTTTTATTGTTTGAGTTTCATTATTACCTTTCTGGCTTTCATACTGCACATAACGGACATCTCTGCTCCATACAGCAAAGTGACCTCTAATGATCTTAATTTTCAAAACTATTATTCCATCATTTACAATCTTACTGTAATGATACTCATGAAAAAACCTCAGGATGTTATGCTGGAGCTGATGACTCCTGAATAACTGGGTAATCCTTATTTCCACTGATAAAAAACAAAGTTCTGCATTGAAAAAAGCTCTCCTCAGATCCCCTGTTCTTTCAGATATAGGAAATCACACTTTTAATCAGGCAAATAAAATCGAATAAAACCTATTATTTCTCAGCAGAGACTGATATTAAGCAAAACAAACTCTTGCTGGGCAGAATAGCAATCAATGGTTGTAAAGTAGAAGAAAAGTGATAACAATACTGTCCCCAAAGATGACAAACAGACATGCTTTCTCTTACTAATTTAATACAATTTCTGCTAATAATATATTTACTTTCAGTCCAAAGGTTAACATCTGCAAAATATCAAACTAAAAGGAACTGCAAGCCTAGTAAATGTATCTTTGAGGATTTCTGTTCTCACATCAAACTTCCAACCTTTTCCTTACTCTTTCTACTCCTTACCTTTGGGTCCCTTACCTTCCATTTATAATCATTCCTTTCACTTTTGGAAACATCTAGTGTGCACCAGGGAGAGAAAAAAAACACAACAAAAATCCACCTTGATTTTACACTGCCTAACTTCTACAGGGAAAGAAATATTAGGAGGGTCTCTGATTGAGCGCTGAGCTAAAAGTGGTGATTCTGTTTTGCCAAAACGCCCAGGTTTGTGCCAGCCTGGCAGCTGCCAGTGCCCACTCTGAGCTCTTCACCTGAATGAATAAAAAAGGAGCAGCGGGGCCATGGAGGAGACAGGTCTGCCCTCAGAGCTGGGTCTTGCCCTTGCCAGCTCCAAGGTGAGAGGTGGTAAAAGCTCTCTGTAAAAGCATGGTGCAGTGCTCCAGGGGGAGAAGAAAAACACAACAAAAATCCACCTTGATTTTACACTGCCTAACTTCTACAGGGAAAGAAATATTAGGAGGGTCTCTGATTGAGCGCTGAGCTAAAAGTGGTGATTCTGTTTTGCCAAAACGCCCAGGTTTGTGCCAGCCTGGCAGTGCCCACTGAGCCCTTCACCTGAATGACTGAAAAAAGAGCTGAGCTGTTCACCTGAATGACTAAGAAAGAGTAGCAGGGCCATGGAGCAGACAGGTCTGCCCTCAGAGCTGGGTCTTGCCCTTGCCAGCTCCCAGGTGAGAGGTGGTAAAAGCTCTCTGTAAAAGCATGGTGCAGTGCTCCAGGGGGAGAAAAAAAACACAACAAAAATCCACCTTGATTTTACACTGCCTATCTTCTACAAGGAAAGAAATATTAGGAAGGTCTCTGATTGAGTGCTGAGCTAAAAGTCGTGATTCTGCTTTGCCAAAACGCCCAGGTTTGTGTCAGCCTGGCAGCTGCCAGTGCCCACTCTGAGCTCTTCACCTGAATGAATAAAAAAGGAACTGAGCTAACACAACAAAAATCCACCTTGATTTTACACTGCCTATCTTCTACAAGGAAAGAAATATTAGGAGGGTCTCTAATTGAGCGCCGAGTTAAAAGTCATGATTCTGCATTGCCAAAACCCCAGGTTTGTGCCAGCCTGGCAGCTGCCAGTGCCCACTCTGAGCTCTTCACCTGAATGACTAAAAAAGATGCTGAGCTTTTCACCTGAATGACTGAAAAAGGAACTGAGCTCTCCACCTGAATGACTAAGAAAGGAGTAGCAGGGCTATGGAGCAGACAGGTCTGCCCTCAGAGCTGGGTCTTGCCCTTGCCAGCTCCCAGGTGAGAGGTGGTAAAAGCTGTCTGTAAAAGCATGGTGCAGGGGGGTGCCCACTCTGAGCCCTTCACCTGAATGACTGAAAAAGGAGCAGCAGGGCCGTGGAGCAGACAGCTCTGGTGCTGCCCTTGCCCTTGCCCTTGCGAGCTGGGTCTTGCCCTTGCCAGCTCCCAGGTGAGAGGTGGTAAAAGCTCTCTGTAAAAGCATGGTGCAGTGCTCCAGCACCAGCAGGAGAAGAAAAACAAAACAAAAATCCACCTTGATTTTTCACTGCCTATCTTCTACAAGGAAAGAAATATTAAGAGAGTCTCTGATTGAGTGCTGACCTAAAAGTGGCGATTCTGCTTCGCCAAAACCCCAGGTTTGTGCCAGCCTGGCAGTGCCCACTCTGAGCCCTTCACCTGAATGACTGAAAAAGGAGCAGCAGGGCCGTGGAGCAGACAGCTCTGGTGCTGCCCGTGCCCTTGCCGAGGTGGCAGGTGTTAAATCTCGGTGTGAAAGCGCTGCTCCCGCACTCACCTGCCGGGACCTGGCGGCTCCTCCGCTGCCTTCCCTGGCATCGCCAGCCCGGGCATCGCCAGCCCGGGCAGTGCCAGCCGCAGCCCGGGCTCCTCTCGCTGCCTCTGTCCCTCCTCCCGAGCCCCCGCGGCTGTTCAGTGATGCTCTGACTCTTCCCACCCTCCGCACCTTCCCCCAGGTGAGGCTGGCGAGCTCCAGCCCCAGGCAGGGACAGGGGAAAATATCCAGTGTTGTCCCAAATGCAGGCTCTGGGCTGCCAACAGTCAGGAAAAAGGGACAGACACGTTTTGTTTTCATCTTGCAAAAATACAATTTATTTCACAAGTGTTTGGTTTAATACTTGTGCTGTTAAAACTGTAATTTCCCAGTTATTTTTGATCAAAGGTATCATGACTTTATTCGAACTACTTCCCTTCTTGGGATCTCTCACCCAGTTCTTCAGTGGATTAGTTGGTTGCCATAACCTACAAAAATGTAAAACAAAAGAAAAATCAGATCATGAGATGCAAGAATTTGTGAACAGTATGTGCTCTGTCCAAGTCACAGGATTTAAATGTGTGAAATAAGATTTTTGCTTCTCCGTCAAAATTGATATTAAATTAAAAGATGTTTGACATTCCAGACTTGAGCTGCATGTGCCATCTTTTAGGATGCAATTGCAACTATCAGTTTCAATTGCAAATTATGATTAATATATATATATTTAAAAATACACACAATATTTTATAAATATGATATTATAAATTATATTATATAATATTACATAATTATTCTATTCTATTCTATTCTATATTATTTATAAATAATATAAATATATATAATATTATATTTTTTATATATATTGATGAATGCAAATTTGAGTAATCACTTCTGAAGTCTTTATGACCACAATAAAGCTCTAGGATAAAGGGAGAATGCATTCCTATTATCAAAAATTATTTGAATACATGAAAAAAAAATTGATATCTGTTTCAGAGGAGGACACTTTCACTGGGTGATGGTTGAATCAGGAATGACACAGCTCCCTCAGAGGGGGCAGAAGTCCCAGTGAGGGACAGGTGCTGCTCACCTGCTGGATCCAGCTGATGTAGGCAGAGACCCGGGTGAACACGGAGGGTTTGTGGTAGTAGTTGCAGCTCTGAGAGGAGCCAAAGCTGACGATGCCGTGCACTTCCCACGTGCCATCAGCCCTTTGGCAGTTCAGAGGGCCCCCAGAGTCGCCCTGGGAGGAAGGGGAACACAGTCACAGCGTGAGCAGCTCCTCTGTGGGGTTTTTAACCTCCCCTTCCCATCAGGCCTGTTTGTCCGGTGCCACCACATTTCACTGAGAAAAGCAAGCACAATTCTTCCCAGGAATACGTCTGGGTTTCGCATTCTCTGAACATGAGAGCAACGAAAAAACAGTTCTTATCTCGTTTGCTATGCCTGTGTTTGTGCCAAAATAGAATGCAATATGGAGATTGTTTACCCAAAGTGATGGTGTTTTGTTTCCTCGGCCTGTCAGGGCCAAGCGTGTGTGTGTTTGTGTCAGGATTGTCACGAGATTCTGTGCAGTGTGTGCAGGGTTGAGTGCTTGGCAGATCCAGTTTAGATGTAGTGTAATATAGTGTAATATAATATAGAATAATATAGTATAAAAAAGTAATTAATTAGCCTTCTGATAAGATGGAGTCAAATGCACATTCTTTCCCCCAGGCCAGAGGTACCGGCAAATTCGATAATCTACACCCAAGCCCTGAGAGTGGACTCACACTACAGCTGGAGATGATTCCATCCCCACCGGCACAAACCATGCTGGTTTTCACTATGGTTCCCCACCAGGAAGGTTGGGAGCAGGTTGCATAATCCACCACCCGCAGGAGGCCTTGCTGCAGGTCATCAGGAAGGGGTCCATTAGCTGAGAGAGGAGAAACACAGGGTCATGGTACCAGCTGGCACTGGAAGAATAAAACTGAAGGAACTGAAGGAAGAATAAAACTGCCCTGCTAAATTTCTCTTGGTGTCTGGGTACCATCACTCCAGGTAAAACACCCCACAGGGGCTCTGTTAAAGGAGAAGCTGTTGGAGGTATCAATGTCCCTTAGTTCCGCCCTTTCATATACACCTTAACTTACTGAAAATTTGCATTCCATTAAAAAATGTCTTATTGTTAGAGAAATAAAGGGCTACTCTATTTCCAGGAGTTTGCAATTTACTTGTCCCTCAAGGAATTGTCAGCCAAGCTGACACCTCTGCTCAACTCTGAGATTTTCTTCACTTCACATCAATTCCCTCATGTGTCTTCAGATATTCAGCAGGTGTGTTGGGATTGGCCAATGCATCTGCCTGCACACTGTTAACATTTGCATTACAATAGCTCCTGAAAGCTCAATAGAGGCCCCTCAGGTGCATTACCAGCTCTGTTACAAGGAAAATAAATTTCAAAGGGAAAAATCATAATGTGTGAGTGAAGTGGGGCCTCATATAATAAACTACCTCACTGCACTGAGTTTAGAGGGGGTCTTGAGCACCATTAACAGTCTCTGCCATCAATCTCAGAGGAGAAGGAACTTCTGAAAGTTTTTTTTTTAAATTTATTTCATGGTTTGGCACACCCCCAGGTACTCACTCTGCAGCCTTCCCCAGCCTGTCACGTAGCAGGCGGTGTTGGAGGCCAGGATGCTCTGGGCAGGGGGCAGGCAGGCCAGCTGGATCTGGTCACTCAAGGTGACATGATTAGAGAGCTTGATCAGAGCAATGTCATACCTGTGGGAACACGCACACGTGTGTGGTAACACGTGTTGGAGAGAAAGGGAAGGTGAAAAGGTTTGCAGAATGGATTAAGACACAATAATCTGAGCTCTCAGCAATTACACAGCACTTGGCCTACTCAAAAGAGAAGCAAGGGAACAAAGGCCACTGCACAAGCAGCAAAGATTCCTGCACCCCAAAGCAATTCATGGCAAATTCATGGGCTGGAAGGCTGTTCCCTGCAGAGCTGCTTGTATTCCTGATGGAAGAAAGTTGGTTTTTTATAGGTTTTTTCATCAAAACCAAGCATATGTTAGGAGTCACTCCAAGGACTGGAAGTGAGGGGATTTCTTTGTGACTGCCCTTAGCCTGCAGCAGGACACACATGGATATTAATGATCCATAATTCTGTTTCATGGATCCATTCTGATCCATAATTCTGTGTCTCTGCTGCTGGCAGGAGGGCTTCAAAGAGTGTTTTATCAAATGCTTCATTCCCCTTCATTGTACAAGAGAGATCATTGCATGCAGCAGCTTCTGACCCAAGCATGAACATGAAAAATGAATTCTGGAAAACATTATTAGTTAGTAAGAAATCGATATTCTTAATTGCTTTGCATTCTCTTGGGGGGGAAGGTAGAAACTGGACACTGTAACAGGAGGCTCTAAACATGAATTTAATTACCATAACTCCAGGTGGGTGGGATTCAGGCAGTTTGATTTTTACCCTCCACCTAAAAACTGAAAAAATACCTGCCACCAGCTTACCCATTTGAAACAGCCTGTGAATTCCAGTTCCTATGAACAATGAGTTTTGTTGGATAAACTGCAACTGATCCTTTTTCCTGAACTGATAGGTCGTATTTTCCAAGAAACACTCGATATGTCATAGAAGAGCTGGGCAAGAAAAGGATGAACACTCAGTTATGCAGCTGCTGCTCAGGTGTCTGCACCTTTGGCTCCTGAGATTCAATAAGAATAACCTTGACTGTGATCTCTCATCACAGGCAGGGTCTGTCTGGAGGTGAGCCAGTGGTTTGCTAAAGGCAAAGATTGTGTTCTAGACTTCACAATCATTTCATCTCTAAGCTGTCCTCTCAGCTCCTGCTCAAGGCTTCTTTAACAAACCCAAGGTGCCTCCAATCTTTGCAGGATTCAGCTCATAGTCTTCAATGCAATAACAATTTGGACTTTTTCTGACAGCCATAAATAGCTTCAATAATAAACATCTGTGTGATAGATATAATATGCAGGATTTATAATAACAACACTCAGGATTTATAATAATAACATACAGCCAATCCTTTATGTTTCATATTATATTTGCTACAAATTAATGTTACAATAACATATGCTACCAGAGCAAAATAGGGCTGTATTTGTGGAAGCAGTTTTGATGATGCAATGACATTGCTGTACCTGATAAATTATTTGTTACACTGCCACACAATATGAAGAGTTCACTGAAAATGATTGGTATATTCAAAATATTTGTGATTATCTCTTCAGGGAATGGATTTATTAGCTAACTTGTGGATCTCACTGACATATATTACAGGAACAGGCAACACAGCTGAATTTTAATAGCAACTTGAAAACAGAAGGATGTTTGTAGTTCATTTATGGAAATTAAGAGTATATAATTCAGGTAACTGGGGTTTTTCCCCCTTTTACATTCAGAAAATAAAGATATGTCATTCTCCTGACTTTTAATCAAAAGATAGACACAAAACTCAGACCTTTCAACTGGGAAAGGAAGAACTGGCATTGATATGGTTTGCATTCATCTCTTTCTGCTCACGTGCTGCTGCCTAGGCCAGATTTATCTTCATCCCTTACCTGATGCAGTGGGCAGCTGTCAGCACCCAGTTGGTGGCAATGAGGGTTCCCCCACAGGTGTGAGCCCACTTGCCGTTGGTGTAGTACTGAAGGGAGACCTGGGATCAAGGAACCAAGTAAGGCTCAGGCTTTTACTTGTTCATTTTTCATCATTGTGCTTTGTTCCTGCACCCAGAACACAACTTGCTGATGGTGGAAGGCTTTGAAGTTTCCAACTCCTGGCCACAGAAAGGCTTTCCCTCCTTCACTATCATCCAAATGCTGATTTCTAAAATACATCTTGCTTAAATAGCCTAAATCTACTTGACTTCAATGAGTGCCTGCATTACTGTCACAGCACACACTGCAGTCAGCAGGGCCACAACACAGAGCAGCACCCTGCAATTTCAGAAGCTCTAAGCATTCTCCCATGCACAGTAACATCACGCCACAACAGAGAGCTTCAAGCATCTGCCCTTCTTGATCTTTAGCCCAAACTTTTACATCCCTCATGTTCATGCACTGCCCCTGTGGGCCCTGTGGTCCCTTCCCTGCTTGGTCAGTGCCCGGGCACTCCATGGCTCACTGCCTTCAGTGCTGCTTCTCACAGCTGTGCCCACTGGGGATGGGGCTCTGCAGCAGCCCCACTCCCAATCACCACAGTCTGTGTGGCTACACAACCAGCAAAATGCAGCACATTCAGAGCTTTTTTTAAAGAAGACTGGAAGCTTTAGGATCAGTCAAAACATATCAGGCAAGATGCATCAAAGGCAATCTAAGGGGTGGTGTTGCTCAGTTGTGCTGTGCAGAGATTTCACAGCCCCAGCGGCTCCAGGGAAAGCACAAATCACCAACCTGCCAGGGCCAGCTGTATGGTCTTGCATTTTCCCCTCCAACAACTCTGGACACAAGAGGTGGGTAGGCAGGAACCCCGCAGCCAAAGGCTAGAAGACATACAAACAGGATGTGTGTTTTGAAAGTAGGTTTAAAAAAATATCTGTAAGATATCAAATAGCACAGCACCCAGGTACTCTTTTGAGAGACCCTTGTAATGAACATCCTCTGCTGTATTTTCTCTTTGATGGAGAATGTTCAATTTGTCTGAAAAAGGAAAGTTGTTTTTAGATTTTAATTAACTTGATCTTTTAAAATTAAAGCAGAAGTTGAACACGTAAACTTGATCTTTTAAAATTAAAGCAGAAGCTGAACACGTACCTGCAGATGCCAGAGCTAACACAGCAATGAGGATTCCAAGCATGGTGCCAGTTCCTGGTGCTGCAGGCTCAACTCCTTGCCATTTTATACTGTGTCCTTTATCTCCGGAACACATGACTTCAAATGCAGAGCTAAGCTATTCCAATACTAATGGAAAACTTGTATCACTGTGGGATAATTCTTTATATACACAAGTTGCTAAAAGATTCGCATTTATGTGGATCTTGGATGCAGGCAATATAAAAACTTGGATAAAAATAATCTCAAATTAGTTGCTTATTATCTGTAGCAGCTGTTTGCATTTCCATTACCTTGAAATTTCATCACAAAAGTGTTCACAGAATGACAACATTAAATTAATTAATCTCACACTTGTTGTGGTAGGTCGGCAGTAAGTGCCTGCTCTGTTGGGACAGTGATAGGTTCAGATATGTTGGTGGGGTTGCATTAGCTAATCTCCAGAGGCTCCCCTCCTATCTTAGTTATTGTGCAGTTATACAACTCCTTGGGATTTAATTTTGGTCTGGGGTCTGCTTTTCTTCTGTTTTGTTTTCTGTGTAACTGAATGGTATCTGACATTGTACTGACTGAAAACCTGTATCTTCTTTCCCAGACCAGGCTGCATGTGCTTTAGCATGCCAGACTTCCTCAAGAAACCAGACTCTAATCACTTTGAAGTGGAACATGCTTCAAGCCATACAAAGAAACAGCTGTCCATGATGAAGCAGAAATGCTGGTGTGTTGTGGTGAGTCAGACCCCATTCCTTTCCTATTTCCCTTTGTTAGATCAGTAGCCCTGGAAGAGAGCAGGGTTCCCTGCAGCATTGCAAATGAGCTGTGTACCCCCAGAGCAGAGCTGCCTGTGCTGTAACACACTGAGCTTGCTAATGAGAACAGCAAAGCTCTTCTACTCACAGGACAAAGCAGCAAGAGCAGGCATTGACACCACTCCAGACATGCTGCCATGAAAGGGAGTGTCCTAATTAATTACTGACATTTGAGATCAGTGACTAGATATCAATGCTTACCCTCGTCTCTTTTTTTCTCTTGATCTTCTACTAGAGGAATTTTCCATCCTCTGTCACCTTTCCATCCACCAACCACTGTTGCTTGCTTTTTGAAAACCAAACATCTCCATCCCATAACCCAGGACACTCATAGGGAACAAACTTACTAGGATGGAAACAAATATCATAACGCCAGTTTTACAACCTGAGTTGTGTTGTACACAGACACCAAACAAGGGGTTCAAAAACGCTGAAATAAATCTAATGTTTAATGTCAGGATTAATAAGCAGCAAAATCCCCGATTTCCAGAGCTTCCATTCAGCAGTAGGTACTGTGCTGGATGAAAGATGCCTGGAGCACACGTGTGGAAGGCAGAAATATAGAATGCTTTGCTGTTTTATCTGTTTCTCAAGAATGTATTTTCCTACCCAGACAATAGTACTTGAGAAAGCCGCATTTTGAATTGCAAATTGGATCAACCAAACCCTGTTCCAGCATCTTGTATTTATTATCTGACAAAAGCAGAAACCAGGATTAACAGTGCAGAATTGAGACTCTAATTTTTTTAATTTGTTGGCTCTTTTCTTAGTGTCTGAATTTACAAGATAAAAAACATTGTGTTGCTCAGTTTAACTTCCATGTCACTATCATTTTCACTGAATTCCAACTAAAAGTATAAATTTTGGATGGTCAGTTACTATTTTAACTTGCTTTGCTTGTTTCATGCTTGTAAATGTGGAATTTTGTTTAGTTCTTTATATTTGTGAAATGCATTTCTGCATTTCACAAATATAACCTTCTGCTCTCTTGCACGCTGTAAATAGAGAAATGCTGTTTCTTTTTCCCCTTCTTCATGGAGGAATTCTGAAACAGTTCTTTTGTTATGGAGGAAATTCTCATAAGAATCCTAATATATTTAATGTAAAACACTCTCAAAGCTGTTTTGTTTTTTGTTCTATCCATGCTTTATGTGATGGCAGCTAATCCATCTTTTCCAGGCCTAAACAGTCTTCCTTGGACTCCATGGGTGTCATCTGCTGGCAGTTCTACCAGGAAACATCAAATGGCTCAGCCTCCAGCTGATACCATGGTGGAAATAGCCCCCTGGAATCTCTTGTCACCTTCATGCCAGATGTTTCACAGAAATTAAGCAGCTCATGGGACTTTGGTGAGAAAGAGAAGGGGCTTCTGGTGTGTTCTGTTAAAGCAGAATAGTAAATATCTCCTTCAATACACAATGTACCTGTGTACAATTTAAAACAGATTCTGTTGCTTCCCTGTCTTTATTCCCTTGAAGGGCAGTAACTCTGCTACACTGATTAGTAAATGGAATTGTCTGCAGAAAAGTTAGACACTGAAATCTGCTTTCCTGAGGGATGTTTTTCATCTGCAGACAGTAACCCCTCTGAAAATTTGAAGTTAAATCCTGATCCAGTTTTTCCTTGGGCCCACCAACTGTGCCAAATTTATTACTTGCTGGATGGCTGTTAAATGTGCTGCTTGATGGTTCCCTGGGATCATTTCTGTGTAAACCTGGCCTTCATTCCTCAGGATAGAACACGGCTGTACTGAGCAGGGAAATGGAGATGAGCTTTGCCCTGTGTGTTTCTGTCACTTGTGGTGCCTTCCAAATTGTCTTATATCTGGCTTATATCCATTATCTATTATTTTCCACACTGTATTTGCAGATAATACTGGCCACAGATGTAACATAAGGCCCTGCTTATCTAAACAGGGTGGGGAGAAACGGCAGGAGAGAGCAGACACAAAACCAACAAAAACCCCAACCACACTTCAGCAATCAGCTTAGACTGAAAGATATTTATTTAGAAACAACAGCTTTGGTATTTTAAAACCAACCAACCTGTAAGTCATTAGAAAGTAGGGTGTCTTCCCCCATAGCCAAAACAAATCAATGCACAAAGTCTCAACAGGCTTAGAATAGGAAACGTGTAGATCATTTCCAAGTGCATGTCCAGAAAACAAATTCATTAAATTGATTTTGCACTCTACAGTCATAAAGGCTGAAACACCTGTTAAGAGAACTTATCAGCAATTAAGGTTGTTAGATATCGACAGGTCAATTGACTGTTACTGAAGTGGAGGAAAAATTAACATACTCCCCCTCCCTCCAAGCAATAAATTACAAACTGTATACCAGAAAGGAAGTTCATTAAAGTTTTCTAGTTAACTCTCAGAAGGGAATCATCATCCTTTATTTTTCTGCAGAATTAAAAAAAAAAACCCAACAGATCAAAATATCAAAGGTCTTAGTATATCTTCAAGTATCTTCACCAAATGGATAACTCCAAGGGAACTGAACAGCTTACAGGGAAAGGAAACATCTGTTACAAGCTTCTGGGATAAACAATTGAATCACCACACCTTCCAAGTCTCAGATCCTGTAATAGCAAGGCACAAAAGGATTGTTGCTTTCAAATGTCCTTGTTCTCAGCTGCAGTATTGCCAGGTGTCTTGTGCAAATGGAGGCAGAAAGCAGGACTAAGTTCACTTGGACGTGGGGATGTTCCCATTCAATAATGGACAAGGTGTTACTTCAAGACCATCTATCTTGCTTACTGCTACAGACTCTGAGCTTCAGCTGGCTTCCACTTCTTCCCTGTTTCTGGAATCAAGTTCTGCATCACCTTCATTTGAAGTAGGTCCAGCTAAGAGGAGGCAGCCGAGCTGTTTGCTCTGCAGTGCCCAGGAGGATGAGGTGCCAGGTCAGCCCTGTGCTGTGGCTCTGAGGCCTTGGGGCACTTCAGGGGGCAGAGCTGGGGACAGCCACCTGCAGCAATGGTTAACAGGTCACTTGGTAAAAGGCAGAAGGCAAGTCTTGAGATGACAAAGGCAACTGGATAGACAACAGTGAAAGGACATAATTACATCATTCCAAGGACACATTTCAGGCTCATGTTACACAATAACTGACCTCACCTCCTAACCCCTTCCTCCCTTTGCACCGAGGGTCTGATCATGACCAGAGGCTGGGAACTGCAGGGGTCTGATACACATTTCTATCCTACCTCCTCCTAGGTTAGTTTGTCTGGCTACAAGCACCTCCCACTCAATCTTTGATTGGATCACAGGTATTCAGACCTGCTTGGGATCAGGCTTGATCTCCAGTGCTCAAAATGACAAAACCAGTGAGCTGACAGGGAAACTTCCAGCTCACTTTAAAGACCCCTTACATAGCAGCTGCCAAGTTTAGTTCAACACCTTCTGTTCAGCCCTAAAAAAATCGAGTTTGATTTTATAATTTGGAATAACAGTACAATCTATAGCTAGAACTTTTCCTCTGACAGCTCTGTTTAACTATCATCTCCTTTTTTCTAAATGAAACGTACATTTAACTCAGTTCAGCCCTCAGGAGGGAAGCCTCTGAACAGCACAGCTGGCTCACACAGCACATCCAGTCTGGTCTTGCATTTCCACTTCATAAGAACACACAATCAGAAAGTCCCAGTACTAAGAGCAGAACTCACCACCTACTGTCTATTCTGTGCTAAGTTTTTACAGCAAATGAGTTTTCCAAGGCAACTCAAAACAACTTGAAATTCTTTACATCCAGGTAAGAGGAGCTTGGAGCTCTGGCTCCAGAGCTTAAACTCACAGTAAAAAGCACTCAGTACTTTCCTTAACACAGCTTTGTATTTTGTCTGACTGGGAGAAACACCAGTTCAGCATCCTCCCAAAGTGATGGTGGTAAGTGTGGTCTGATGGAGGGCTGCACAGTGTCTGCAATATGAACATGTGCCACAAGCCCCAGCAAGTCAGCACCCTCACCTCCAACACCAGCCTGCCTCTGGGTGCTCCTGTGTGACAGCTCACACCTTCAGAGCAGGCAGGCAGTGTGCAGGTCTCCACACAGCAGTACAGACAAGGACAGCAGCTCTCTCACAAGCCTTCTGGTACTGAATAACAAGAAGCATCATCTCATGACAACTGCAACTGCTGGCCTAGAAACAAGCAATGTCCTACACTGATGTGTGGAAAAAGGACAGAAAGCTGTGTCTGCCTCCACCTGCAGCCTCACAAATGCCTAAGGACAGATGATGAGTTTATCTTTTCTAACAACTGCGAGCCCTACTGCTCCAACCCCTGCCCTGATCCTCCCTGCAAGAAGAGGTCACAGATTGCTTGTTTCAAGAGACTGAAAATCCTCAGAGTCCAAGAGAGAGCCTGCCCAGGCACAGCTGACACAACATCAGGCTGACAACACTCAGTGGACAGCAGCCAAAAGCAGCAGTTTTATACCTTACTCCTGAAGAGGGGCTTGGCTCCCGGCCCACAATACTCGTTGTAGATCAGTTTGAACAGAAACAAATGAAACAAAGTAATTAAGGAGGCCACACTGAACCAGAACAGGAAGGGTAAGCCAGGGTATTGCTTGGCCATGTGTTCCTCATGAGCCAGAATAGCTTTTAGGTGGAGTGTGTGTCTTAGGTCCTGCAAGTGGACCAAATCTGTTGATATATAAAGCAGTGGTGTGATGGGTTGAGTCACCATGACAGGGAAGGTGTGACCCCGTGCCTCTGAGGTGAGCTCCACAGGCTCGTTCATACAGCCTGCCTCACACGCATACAGTCTGACAGGCTTGTCCTGGAATTTCACAGACACGTGCAAGAAGGGCTTTCCTTCAGCATCCAGGAGAACAGCCAAACTGATCAAGTCCTTATTGTAATGGATCCCACGTAAGGAATAGCTGTTATGAAGCACGTCCGGGTCAGCCTGAAACTGAAGATGGTTTTCTGTGAACTGCAGCCCCCCAAAACTAAGCACCATTCCCTGCATGAGTCCGTGGACTCCAGCTGCCACGAGACCCTTGCACCCCCGTTTTTGGAGAGTCAGCTTCCACAGGTCTGAGAGCTGCAGGATCTGGGAGACGCTGGTGAGCTTTGGTGGCCACAGGTTCTGGGCGTGCATGGTGGCGTGGCCGCTGAAGCAGTGGTCAGCGTAGTTGAGGCTGGCTTCAATCTTCTCCCTGTCCTCACCAGCAATCAGGGGGTCCAGCAGGGGGGCTGGCACAGTGCTCAGCACGTAGTACAGGGTCATGTTGACAGTCTCACTGGATGGCGTGTGTGCATCTGTGATCTTCCTCATTTCAATCCCTGCAGCAAAAGAAAACAACCAATAGTCAGAAATTATCTAGGAGGAACAGAAGATCAAACATGCACACTGATGTTCAATATGGTGTTCTTTATGACATTTAAGAAACCTGCATCCATAAAACACCACAGTGAAATGTTTCCTTGAGTTTGTCTAAGAAGATACTCCCTCTGCTACTTGGGAGTTTGAAAGCCAAGCTCCCACTAAAGACAAAGCTAATTAAATATACAGATGCCCTACAGGCCTGTCATCATGACTCTGCAAGAATAATCTGTCAAAAGAACATTATCTTTTTATAAAATAACAAGTTCTACATTATTTGGTGAGCTACTCTTTCATGTAAGACATTAAAATCTTAAGAAAAAGCTTCTTTGTAGAATGGCCCTTAACCTCCATGCAGAATCTGCCTTTTATGCTATCACTGAAGGTCAGCTTTATTTCCAACTGACATGCAGGGCAAATCAGTGAAGTTCCTGAAGCCACAAAAGCAGCACACACAGAATAATGATAACAAATGTTCTTCTATCACTTTCTACACACAGTCACGTGTACTTCACTTGGCAAGGTAAGCTGGGTTCCAAACCAGGAACACTGTTTTACTATCCCACACCCCACCAGGAAGACCAGAGCCTCTGGAGACCTTACAGCAACCAGGCCACTGAGCTTTCAGACACCCCCTAAAGCAACCCCATGGAAGCTGAGCATCACTTTCCTTACCTGAAATGAACAAGTCAGACCAGGTCTGCTGGTGCTCCTGGAAAAGATCTTCCACCCCCATCTGCATCACCTCCAGCATCTCTTTCTTGGCCGCCTCCCTCAGCTTGCTGAAGGTCTCCTCCAGCCTGGACACCTCGATGGGCTCCGAGGTGTGCACCACGGACAGCACGGTCTCGTCGAAGTGCGACTCGGGCGCCACCTGCACCCGGCTCACGAGTTTCTTGGCAGCCACCACCACCAGCACCACCTTGGGGCTGCCGGCCAGCAGCAGGCGGCCGGAGGAGAGCAGGAACTGCCTCTCCTCCACCTTCTCCAGGCTGGTGGTGAAGCGCCCGCCTGGCGCGGAGGCGGCGGCGGGAGCCGAGGCCTCGAAGGCGGCCAGCCTGGCGGTGGGGTTGGCGATGCGGATGCGCTGCAGGTAGAGGTGCGGCCGGCTGCGGTGGGCCACCACCTCCTCCCGCACCGTCACGCAGTCCCCGGCGCCGGCCCCGGGCCCGGTCTGGACGCAGCGCAGCCTCCGCACGGCGCCGTCCCTGAGGGCCGCCAGCGCCGCCCGCGCCTCGNCGCCGGGTACTCGGTGGCGAGCGCCGGGCCGGCGGCGGGCCCCGCGGGCCGCACCCACAGCCGCCCGGCCGACACGTCCAGCAGCAGGAACCCGTTGCCCGCCACCGCCAGCCCCGCCGCCTCCTCAGGCAGCGGCAGCGCATCGCCGCGCTGGGCCTGCTCCCGCCAGGCGCCCGAGGCCGCCTGCAGGCAGAGCGCGGCGGGAGCCCAGGGCTCGGCCCCGCGCCCCGCGCCCCGCGCCCGCGCCGCGCCCAGGTACCAGTAGGCGACCAGCAGCAGCACCAGCAGCAGCAGCAGGCGCCGCGCCCAGCTGCTGGACAGCAGCCCCGGCAGCCCCTTCAGGCGCTGCTGCAGCCACATGGGCGGCGGCGGCGGGGGAGCCCCGGCCCAGCCCGTCCCGGCCCCGGCCCCGCCGCACCGGCCCTAGGCCGCCATCTCCGCCGCTCTGGGCGGCGCTTTGCGACAGCCGCGCTCTCCCGCCCTGAGGGGGCTTGGCCGGGAGAGGCGGCTCGGACCGCCCCGGAACCGCCGGGAACGCCGGCTCTAAAAATTCTGGAACCACCAGCCTCAAACCGCCCCGGAACCGCCGGGGACGCCGGCTCCAAAAACCCGGAACTGCCGGCCTCAAACCGCCCCGGAACCGCTGGGAATGCCGGCTCCAAAAATCCCGGAACCGCCGGGAACGCCGGCTCTAAAAATTCCGGAACCACCAGCCTCAAACCGCCCCGGAACCGCCGGGAACGCCGGCTCCAAAAATCCCGGAACCGCCGGGAATCCCGGCTTCAAACCACCCCGACTTCCAAACCCCCGGAACCGCCGGGAACGCCGGCTCCAAAAATCCCGGAACCGCCGGGAACGCCGGCTCCAAAAATCCCGGAACCGCCGGGAACGCCGGCTCCAAAAACCCGGAACTGCCGGCCTCAAACCGCCCCGGAACCGCCGGGAACCCCGGCTCCCAGCCCCCGGCTCCAGGTCCCCCCTTGCTCGGGGCCCCTCCCGTTACCGGGCCCCCTCAGCCCCGCAGCCCCCGGCTCCGGCCCGCCCCAGCGCTGCCCTGCTCCCTGTGCTGTGGCCGCGGGTGCAGCTGCAGCCCAGCGCTGAGGTTCTGTCTCCTACCCGGCTCCCTGCACCGATGGAAAAGGCCTGGAGGGGTTTTCGGTAATTCCCGTGGCAGTTTGCTGGCTCACCAGCACAGAGACTGTGCGGGAAGGGAAGTTCTCTTTATCAAACTGTATCCCACTGGACAAACTTTCTCATGTGTCTTAGATGTGCACGGGAAAGCTTTGTATCCAAAGACAAAATGAGGAACAGGGTTTCAAGCAATCAGGCAGAAACACTGAGTTACAGCAAAATGTGAATTTCTCGACCAGGCTGAGGCAATGAGCAAGCTTTAAAAAGGGAAACAGGAGACACGTTCTTAATTTCTTCCTGCAAATGAGCTGTTTGACTGGCGGAGGAGAGCACTGGGATCCCAGAACGGGGGGTCAGACCCCATTCCTGGCCGGTTTCCAGCTCGGAGGCTGCTGGAGGAGCAGAGCTCCGGCCCTTCCCGTTCCCGGGAAGGCGCGGCTCCGCCCGGAGCACGTGTTGCACGTACTCACTGCACATCTGCACCGGCAGCTGGCTCTGCTTAACAGCGCAGCCTGCAGCCAGCACAAACACACAAAGAGGGGGAGTAAATGTGCTTGGCATAGCTGCAGAATACAAAGCTGTCAAACAGAGACAGCCTGGGCACAGTAGCATGAACAATGAGGCATTCATGATCTGGAGTGTGCAAAACCGCTTTCGCTTGAGGCTGGAGAGATTTAATTTCATTAAAGTGAGAAACTCGCAGTTTTAAAAATCCATGTTGAGCTGCAGGTCTCAGTCTGAGGTCTGAAGGTGAAGGATGGAATATCTGTGCTGTGGCTCCTGCCCTAAAGTGTTGGAACTGCTACAGATTTATACAGAGCTTTGTCTGAGCCTGCAAAGTATTGAAGAAATCTAAAGTGAAAGTATGTTCCTTTTCTTTTTTTGATTTAGGAAAACTGGCAGCTTTGCAAAAGGAAGTTTCCTGAAATCATCATCTTAGAGAGAAAATTCCAGGTTGTTGCCTGGAATGCTCAAGGCTTCCTGTTTGCCTGTTAACGATGAGGGAATTCCTGCACTGGGGAGAAGGAATGGAAGGAACAGTGCTTTGAACCCACTCAAGAATATTCTCAGTGAACAAACAACCAGTAATGGGAATTCATCAGGATGTTGCTTTTATGGATCATGGAGAATATCTATTAGCTACAGTGTAACCTTTCTAATGTGCTTGATTTTTTTTTTTTCTCCTCATGCCTCCTTGGTTTGTTTGTTTTTAACCTGAACCCTGTTATAGCTGTGATTTCTGTTAATTTAAAGAGATTATTTACTGACAGGCCTCACACAGGATCTGTGTCAGTGGTAACTCATCTGGTGTCCTGCAGGCTCAGAAGGGTTTCCCTACATCTAAACCTTACATTCACTGCACTGTAGAAGTGACATAAAGCAAACATTATGTTTAAGATGTGTAACTTTCTAAGACAGGATAATTTTGTTTATTCTCAGGGCAGAATGAAATAGAAAAAGATGCCTACATAAGTGATCAGGGCTACAGCAAGAAAACCCAGCACAAGGCCACAGAAATTAATGTAAGACTTAAAGAGGTGTATGAGGCCAGAGAAAACCAGCTACTACAGGAAAAAAAGAAACAGGGCAGATTTTTGTGTTCACCAAGGAAATATGGGAGGTGACAGGTAGGAAGAAGGTACGAAGAAGGTATTTAATAAGGCTTCCAGTTTCTAGAGCTGTGCATAACATTATAATCCATTTGTGGTTTGCTTTTTATACATAAATATCCTGTGTCAGCCAGCTGCAGCCCAGCAGTATCTGAAGCTGGCCAGAGGGTGACTCCTCTCCTCCTACACCAGTGTTTGCTCAGTGTGGGGGTCTCAGTTTCTTTGGGTCTGGATTGAAGGCACTGGAGACAGTAGTTTCATGTTCAGACTCAGGTGTTTATTATTTCTTATCAGTAAAACAGTCTCACAACCATGAGTTCAGCAACTTTTCATTAGAAGGTACAAAATGGCCAACAATCTCTTGTTACAGTAAGGTCTTTTAACATCACCAAGTGATCCACCTACACTACTCTCTGTAATCTATTTCACACTTTTGCGGATTCTAATCTAACTTGAAGTCTAGGGAAATTTCCCCATGAATGAGAGTCAAAGTCAGTGCTGTCCTGGGGGTCAGGACACCCCAGAGAAGCCAGAGAAATATTCCCAGTGCCCTGGGTTTCCAGTGCTTCCCCGGGGCTCAGGACAGCCCAGAGCAGACAGAAATATTCCCGGTGCCCTGGGTTTCCTTCCAGTGCTCCCCTGGGGCTCAGGACAGCCCAGAGCAGACAGAAATATTCCCGGTGCCCTGGGTTTCCTTCCAGTGCTCCCCTGGGGGTCAGGACACCCCAGAGCAGACAGAAATATTCCCGGTGCCCTGGGTTTCCACAGCTCAGTGCCTGTTTGCCCCTCTGCTGCTCCGCAGAGCCCCGCTGGATCCCGCAGCCCGGCAAAGCCGCTGCAGCTCCGGGCTCAAACCCCGCAGCTCCTCTCGCCGCTCCCCGCGCTTCTCCCAGCCCTGTCCCGGCTGCCTCCCGCCTCTTGCGGGGGCCGGGGCTGCCCGGAGGAGGAGCCATCTCCTCCCGCCTCCTCCTGCTGCCGTCTCCCCGGGCGGGTCTGGTGCGTGGCACAGCTCCGGCAGCCCCGGCCCGGCCCGCGGTGCCGCTGCCGCTCCCGCAGCGCCGTGCGCAGGGCGAAGCCGGCTCCATGGTGCCTGCGGCGGTGCCGCTGCTGCTCGGGGCGCTGCTGGCGCTGCTCGGGGCGGGGGGTGGCCGTGCCTCGCAGCAGGAAGGTAAGGGGAGCTGCTCGGGTCACCGCGGGGACCGGCTGGTGGACGGGGTGCGGTGCTGGCTTTGTCGTGCTGTCGCTGCCCAGCGCTGCCCGCGGCGGTGCGAGCCCTGGCAGGCAGCTGGAGCCTCGGGCAGCTCGCAGTTTGGTCACACAGCGTCTCGTCCCGCGGGGTGCATCCCACCCGGGTCAGCCCCTCCCTGCTTTTGAACTTAGGGGTTCGAGAATTAGGTAACCGGAGGGCATTTGATCCCAGGCTGGCCACACTGTGAGTCAAGATCTGGGGTGCTCCTAAAATAGCATCAGTGTGTCTCCCTCCGTAAACAGCTGGTAGAAGCTCTAGAGGAGCTGGTAGAAGAGCAGAGGATTAGGGCAGCTTCAGAGTGTCAGCTGCACGAAGTGGTTCATACACTGTCACTCTGCCAAGAAGTTTGGATAATTATCTCTGTCTTCATTAGAGAAGTGGCAATTAGGAGGAGATTTCATCTTGTTGTGTGTAATATTTCCCTTCACAGTGTGATTCTGGTATAACTATGTACATTACTTAATACAGTTACTGTGCATCTATGGGGGTGTTGGGAGTTCTTTGGCTGTAGTGGCATGATTAAAACAAAGAATCTCTGTGCTATCCTGCCTTCTTTGCACATCCCAAATCTTCCATGGTTTTAGTAAGGTTTTAGAATGCACTAGAGATATAAAACTTGGGGCTGGGAAAGAGAACGAGGTAAATTGGTTAGGAAGAGGAATTTGGAATTAGCTCTTTTCTGAACCATCACTTTTGGCATGGTTCAAAAAGAAAATGCCTCATCTTTCCTGTGCCTCAGCTTCTCTAGAGTAATGTGAGAATAATGATACTGGTCTTCTCTCTTGGATATTCTTTTATATCTGTGCAAAAGCTCTCAACATAGTTATTTGTAGTTGATAGAATTTAAAAAGATTCTTCTGTAAGTGTAGTACAGAGATTATATTATCCACTGTTAAATTGTGCACTGTTTTGTTTTTCTTCTTTTTGATCTCCATATTAATGGTATTTTCTTAGACACTGTCTTAACAGGAAGTGACACAGTAAGATTTCCCAAATCACAGCCTAAGGATAAATTCATTCCTTGTCCTAAAATGCAGCTGCAGCTGTGCTTTCCCTGTAGACTTAGGGCAGAAGAAAATAATTTTTTTTGTTACTGAACTCATCTGGTCCCTGAATTTTATTCTTTATAAAAACTCAGAAGTTTATTGAATCATTTCATTGTGATGTTGGTATCAAGGTTCCTGATCCAGTACTTTGTTCTTACAGAATCCTTTTCATCTATAGAGCTGTAAAACCTTCACAAAAGAGGTAAATGTCCTCTTCTATCATTCTACAGATGGAAAAAGAGGGATAGTAGGATTAGCTCCTTGTTGTAAGCAGAACCACCAATACAGTCCAGTTCCCCTGGTTCTGAGTCCAGTGCTTGCTTTGTTAACCACTGTGTATTTGTATTCTGCAGCCATGCCATTATTAAATGTATTTATACAATTCCTAGTTGTTTGTGTGGCCCAGGAGGCCTGGCTCAGCAGAACAAGCTGCATTTCTACATGTGGAAATTGACTGTGATATGGGAAACAGGGATGCATCAATC